GTTTCAAATGGCAGATAAAGCGATACATCGCAAATCACACCACGCCACTGAGTTATGGGCCTCTCGAAAAACGCCTCCAAGTCTTCACAAGCGCAGTGGCTTCCAAGTCGATAATTTATATTCGCAACCAATACCACCGTGGCTGGTTTTCGATTAATGCAATGCTTTATTACCGTCGGAGCATTAGCCAAAAAGCATTTGTTTCAAGGACTCCAGGGTAGAAAAGAGATCCAAAAGATTAACAATGGTAGGTGTTTTGACCAAGGTCTGGTGTAAAATGAAGTGAGATTAAATTGTCCTTTGATCTAAACCAGTTGATGTCAAAGCTTTTCAAGCTCATATTATTGTCAAAGCTCGAACCGAACTACGAAGTCACAAATCACAAATCTACAAGATCGGTAGAAAACTGAAAATATAATGCTAAAATCATTGGATTTTCTTGCAACATCATACGTTCCACTCTTAGCTCTGGCGATGAATATAGTGTTCGAACATTTTAAGCGTAAAATTAGTCAAAATAAGGTATGATTTAATAACTCTTTACTTCACACTAGGCTATCGTGAACACCTACCCTCTCCGACACATAAACGGCGCATGCAGCTGACCTTCCAAAATTGATTGGGCAACTAACATCTCTGAAAATAAATGATTGCAAATCTTACACGACGGAGAGGAATGAATTGATCATCTGAAATTGTTTGTCTGTGCGAATCGTAGAGATTTGCAACGTTTTGTTAGTACCAGCTTTTGAACGGACGGTCCGGTCCTGGCTCAAAACGCCTTCAAATTCCGTGATACTTTACGCCGCGTCACGAAGTTAGTTTATTTGCCTTTTGAAAATTGGTGTCAAAACAAAAAAGAAAAAAGCACTCCTGAGGCATTCTTTTCACACGTCCCTACCACACCAACTGCCTTGACATGATGTCAAACACAGCGTTAAAATTAACGCTCATTATCACCCGAATTTTTCCACTACAGATGCAGCGACTCAGCCCCTCCAAAAAATGCCGGCAGACCTCCCATTTCAGTTATACCCTGAATATATTTCTTGGTATTGCTTCATTAATCAATATGGCCACGTATCATAGGGCAAGATAATTCTTACAATGCAGTCTGTATGTACATAAATGTCGCTCCTACAAGGCACTCATATCGGGAGCTCCTCGACAACAAACGCCACATGTGCCTACCTTTCAAGAGGTTATCAGGCACCTGACAACGCAACTTCGGCAACGCCCTAATGTCATCCCTTCATGAGACATCCCCGTAGCCTTTTCCCAAGTGGTACCCGATCCAAAACTTGTTTGGGCAACCGTGTTATGTGTCTCGACCTATTTTGTAGTCATTTATTCCTCGCTTATTTTCCTTACAGTACCTATATAGCGAGAGTATGGACAGATCGCTTCATGGAGGGCTTAGGGCCCAAAAGTGCAGCCACCCTTTTAACCAACTTCTAACGCACAAAATTTCACTGCCAGTCTGCAGATTCCAGTTCTAACCAAGATGGCTAAGAATGTACATAAATGAGCGTTCTTCCGCAAAAATGAGTAAATTTATGCAAAAAGTAAGTCAAATACGTGCTTTATAAACGCGCTCTGGATAATTGAAATTCATAGGTTGGCTGCATTTCTGGGCCCTAACTTTATTCGCGGAGACATCGGTGAAGGCCTGATGGATTTTCGGAGTTTCACATCTGTCTATACTCTCGCTATACAGGTACTCTAATTTTCCTCTGAGATTCCCTGATCCTAGAGGATCAGGATTCGTACTCATTCGCGACGTTTAATCCGGCGACAGAGCAGAAGATCGAGAATATCGAAGGATGGCAAGTGGAAGACGTTCCTCTGCGTATGATTCCGATGTCACGGTCGGTCGTGTGTTTTTATGGAGCTGGCGTTTCTTTATTTCCCTCGCGTAATTTAATTTAAATGTTGACGGGGAGGCGAGGCGCTCGGGATGTGCCGTGATTGAATTATACGCCATTCACGGCGTGAAAACGGCGATTCGTCCGATTCGCGACAACAATAGCCGTCAAGGTGTTAACTCCGGTCTCTGGACTCCTTAAAACCTCTATCCTCCCCCACATACTCCACCAAGCAGTAACTCCGTCTTAGAACTTGCTTCTTTGACGCGCTTCTTCGCACGGTGACGTAATCTCTTCAAGTCTTGAAAAAAGGGATTGACAGTGAGCACTGAAAAAAAAAATCTCGGTGTATTTGCGAAAAAAAGAGTAAAATTACCAAGAATTCAGGGTTCTATTTGATCCCAGTTTTTTCTTGGTAAAATTACCATTAATGGAATTGGTAACTTTACCGAGAAATCTCCGTAAAATTATTGACTTTCTCGGTAATTTTACTGGACCCCAGTAAAAACGCCAATATTTTTTATCGACTGTGGTAGAATTACCGAGATAAAATGGCAAAGTTACCGAGCATTGATCACGAATAAAAGTGGTATTCTTACCTGAAAAAAACAGTAAAAATACTTGTTTTTAGGTGAGCTTACCAGTCTGTCTTTGTAAAATTACCAATAATTGGTAAAAAAAAAAAGTGAGATGGTAAAGGTACCAACGGACCTTGGTAATAACGCCGAGAATTTTTTTTCAGTGAGGGCTATATTTTCATAGTTGCTCTCGGAACACCTGCCAAAGAGAGTATGCTGTGGTGCTAAGGAAGAACGCCGTATGAACATCCGAGAGTTTCCAAATTGCCCCGGATACAACATGTATTTTTGAGAAAGATTATACGTATTTTTCCTTGAAATTTGCAGACATATTAAACAAAATTACGAACAAAATTTTCTGAAAAATTGAAGAAAAACATTCACAATTTTCCGAGTAAATTAAGGTTTTTAATGAAGGAAATTTGGCAACGTCTGAAGGTTTATACGGTGTTGTTCCTTGGCACGGCAGAATGGACTTATCGGTATTTTAAAGTTTGCGTCTGAGCAGGTCGTTAGGGTCCAAAATGGCAACCAATCTAGGGGCTCAAACTATCCAAAATGATTGATTATTACTACATTCACTATCGAAAGTTTCAAGAATTATTGTATCACGTAGTCGACTTTGTTTTTAACATAAATTTCCCCAATTTTGTGGAAAAGCGCTCATTTATAAACATTCTTGGACATTTCGGTTTAACAGTTGAATGTGAAAATTGATTGCGGCATTTTTATAGTATTTTTCGTGCGGGAAGGTTGGCTGCTCTTTTGGGCAGAGCTTTATGTTTTGGTTTGTCAATCCGTACTCTATAGTAGCTTCTCATAGTTATGCTCTCCGCAATTATACTCTTGAGTTTTTTGAGGTAAATTTGCATGAATTGACGTTAAGTAGTTTTCCATTTAAAAAATGTATAAAGTATGACAGGAGGCCTGCAACGTCGCAAAGCCGAGATACGTTGTCTATTAGCCTCACCGTCGATACATATATCGAGTTTCATAGAGAGAACCCAAGTTTTTTTGGCAAACATGGGGTTTGCCCGCTGGTTGATTGGAGGGAAAACGTGGGCTTAATTTCGCTGTCGGACCCTTACGCATGAAGTGATTTCACCGCGAATAGGAAATCTGGCAAGGAACCAACTCTGCTCTTCCTTCCTTTCCTTGAATTGGACTGCATTTTGCAATTTGGAACTATAAATTCTGGCTCTTCTGGAAAAACACTTACGTGCATAGGGAAACTAATGGCACATACGTTGTTTTTAAACCGAGCCGGAATTTATAGTTCCTAATTGCAAAATGTAGTCCAATTGATGTGGCTCTTTTAACATTCAAGGCAGGGTGCATTGGCAAAATTCTAAAAATTTCAAAATCCTAACTGAGCAAAACTCGCTCCACTAATGAATTTGTTCTCATGAACTGGACTGCATTTTGTAATAAGGAACTACAATTCCTGGCTCACCCGCCAAAACACTCATGTGTATAGGAAAACTGACGATACATACGTTGTTTCCAAACTGAGCCGGAAATGGTAGTTCCTGATTGCAAAATGCAGTTCAACTAAGGTCCCTTCCCTCGCAAACGGTCACAAACACAGGTAACCGCGGCAAAATGAGCACATTTTCCGAACAATTTTTGATTGAAAAAAAGTTAGATAACAGATAGAGAATGGTGGTTGGTCAGTGCGGCAAGAGCACGAAACGCGGGGGAGGCAGAGGAGCGCGCCGACAAAATCCCGGACGATGAGCAGGAAATGTCATGGAAAATTGAATGACGAGATCAAGGTGGAACATACTATTATTGTCCTCGTTAATTTCGCTGTTTTGTCGCTCTCCGCACGCTTGCCTACAGGTACACGCACGGTACTCCACGAGCACATCCACCTATACACACTCACACACCCTCACATACGTGTCGACGACGCTCCAGTGGTCGTCTGTTCCCACGTCACTAACTCAAATCTCCCGTCTGCCACGCAAACGTACTGCACGCCTCCATTTTCCTTTTTCCTGGCCAATTTTGCGTTTTGTGTGAGGAAGGATGAGGAAGTTTTAAGGATAAAGCAATGGTTTGGTTGTCTCTCATAGATTCAAGTTCTTAAAATTGAAGAGCGTTGAAAAATAATTGAGAGTATGAGAGGAGTGAAGCTAAAACTGAAGAAATATATCTCAGATGAAACTGCTAAAAGAGGTATAACTTAGAACTTGATTGAAGATTATACATGACGGCTTTTGTCAAACGGAAAAATTCAAAAAATCAAAATTTGAGTTTTTGAGGGAAGCACTCTACATTCCGAAGTATTCGCTGTGAATTTACTCTATTTGCACGCAAAGTTTATAGGGTGGAAATAAGAATTTTAGTCCTATTACGCCGAGCTTCAAACTTAACAAATAAAACTTCAGTTGGATTCTTCTCAAAATTTCATTTTTTGGATTAGCAACTTATGAAGTTTTGGAACAAAGCTCTAGTCTTTAGCTTGGTTGGAGAGCGAGCAATGTATGTGCTATTATGTTCATCAACATTCCGCTACGTAGTGGTGAAACTAATTTGATTTTGAGTTCTGTGGTTTAAAGTTTTTTTTTTTTTTTTTTTTTTTTTTTTTTTTCAGAAATAGGAGCTTAGGCTGAGATGCAAATCAGGAACGCATCTCACATTTTTGGTATGCTGTGTGAAGAGGACGGCACGCCTGATTATTGAGTCTCCTTTTCAATTCCAAGCCCGAGGAAAAACGCCTGCAAATGAGGAGGCGATGACACGCACATCACGTCTGAGCATGAAGCAGTTGCGGCCGGCGCGCGGCAGTATGTGTGACCCGAACTTTGGCATTGGCAGCTAGACCTCTAGTTTTCGGTTGAATGTCCCGGAAACTTCACAGATCCATATGACCTGAACTTCAGGTCCCATGCCTGAAGCATTTTCCTCCGTGAATTTGATGGAGTGGCCTCCTGTTATAATAATTGTGGCTTGAGGTAAATTATTTCAGATTCAGCCACAATGAACGCGTTGCGACCCCAACAGTTAGGACCCACCTAAAACTTAGAGTACCTATATAGGGAGAGTATGGACAACTCGAAATATGCAGCTGTTAGGGCTCGAAAGGGTAAGTAACCTTTGAAAACGAAAAATGTCACTGTCAATCTTTAGACTCCAATATCAAACGAAAATGGACAAGAAAATTCATAAATAAGCATTCTTCCGCAAAAATGAGTAAGCTTATGCAAAAACCAAGTCAAATACGTAATTTACGAACGATATAGTTCCCAACAATTGTGATTATGAATCACTCCGGATAATTTGGATTCATAGATTGTCTGCCCTTTTGGAGTCTAAGAGCTCCATCACCGAATCTCAGAATTTTCGACGTGTCCATACTATCCCTACATAGGTACAACTCACATTTTTCCGTAAATAAGCATCGTCAATAACAGGGACTTGGACGCGATGTTGATGGTCACAACGCCGAGTCAACAGTGCTAGTACTTAATGGATAGCTGTGTTGTATGCCTGATAATTGAAGGCGCAAAGCAGCATTTCACTAGCTCATTATGAGACCCATCACCCATAACACGCCAAAATGCTGGGAGAAAAAGTACGCATGTTCTGGAATGTTTGTAGATTTGGTTCCTGAGGCTCTGATGAAATTCAAAATTAAGAAGCTGGCGGAAGGTTTAGTCTGATCGCAATCGTTTATTTTTTGTGATGCCAAGGTCGATACTGAGAATCCGGCGAAGACCATTCGATTCTGAGGAAGTTCACAGCATAAAACTCCATTTCGTAATGTTTCGCAAAGAATCTTGAAGAAAATGAGGTTCGTCTGGAGTCATCATGGTGTCTGAAAATATATATTCAGAGGATTGGATCAATAATAAAATAACAAAGGGTAAATGGACCGCGTTAAACAGAAAGTGTTGTTAAGTTCCCCATGCCAGTTACTATCTCAAAGCTCACGGAAAATTTTGTGGGACGAAATCTGCGATTTCGGACATTAGACTTGTCATTCAGTCATATACTTTATTTGGTTCACTTGATTATTTTGGGCTAGTGATTCCTTACATATTATTTTCGGGGCTAAAAATCAGGGGTGCTCACTGACTCCTAGGACCCCTCATGTTTTTAAAAAAGAAATCCTCCCGCCTCCTGGAAAAAAATTTTATCCATGGCAGGACCGCAATTTTCTCATTTAAATTAATCGTTGAGGCGCCCCAAAAACACTCTGACAACTCCAAAGCGGAAGAAATTTTATGCAGTAGTAAAATTTTGTAAATTAAATACGAGAGAAGAGGAAGAGATTATCTCTCCTTGCTCTCTCCACTGCAAATATATTTGAACGAGCAATACTCACAATGCGTTTAGATATCCTTCTCTGAACTCTATCTCTCCGTCAGGTTGGCGGAGCACAAAGAAGACAAATCTGTGATTACCTGTAAATGATTAAAACAGAGGATGGGTAAAAATGTAGCAAAATATTTTCAAAATGACAGTTTATGTAAGCACATTATTTTCATTTCCTAATTGATCGGAATGTTGCCCCTCATTTCTATTTACATTTTTCTCTCTCATATATTTCAGAATTATTTTCCACAGTGGTATAGCTGAAATTAATTTTAATTTCTCTGGCTTTTTGCTACCGGATCATAGACGATAGTAGGTATTATTGGTGGCTCTGTTATACTAATCAAGTGATAAAAAAGGCATTAAATAGTATTCTATAGCAAATTTTTACCGATACTTTTTATCAATTTCAGTTGCTTCAACCGCGGGAGAAGAATTTTGTAGTAAATAGGAGCAGTCAGAGCATTACCTGTTCCAACCAAAGGATGGGGGCTAATGTAATCTACAACTATTTCATCGGTCTTTAAATCAGGTCCTTGGATATTTACAGCCATCCAATGAAGATATTCACGTTCGTAGGGCGCCATCTTCGACGGCGCATCTATATCTGCAAAGGGAAATAGCGCTAAATCAAATATTTTTCATGATACCTAGTTTAAATCTAAAAAAAATACTCGTATCTTTCTGGCCAAAATATTCTAATTTTACGGTCTTGTATGAATTCAATCTTAAACTCCAAATTATAATATCAATTGTTCGGGATAAACATAAAATTAATAATATCGATGACCAAAGTGCGAAACCATGTATCTCCATTCGCGACATTGAAGATCTCCTATCATAATTTGATATGTTATCTTTGGAAAACTAGGCAACATGATTTATTGAAAATTTTGATTCCTGAACTCCCTGATTTTGTTTCCTGTTAGCAAACTATTCGGTATCTATTTCAAGCTATGAGGTTGACTTATTGTTTCTCTTAAAATAAACAAATAAGGAAATGTTTCACAAAAACCGACAGGAGCCGACATAGCATTTTAGGCTACGTCCGCCATCTTGGATTTGAGAATTTTTAAAACTTGACTAAAAATTCGAGTTTCCCGTCGAAAAGTACCCCTGCTCCCGCGGTTCACAAAGCTCTAAATATAACGAACAGAAACCGAGATAGAATTTTAGGCCACATCCAACAACTTGGAGTTGAGAATTTTAAAAAATTGACAGAAAATTCGAGTTTCCCTTTGAAAAACACCAAATAATACCGCGTTTCACAAGACTCGAACAAGCAGAAACCGAGATAGCATTTTAGCCCACGTCCGCCATCTTCGATTTGAGAATTTTAAAAAAATGGACTAAAAATTCGAGTTTCTCGTCGAAAAATACCTTCTGACGCCGAATTTCAGAAAAATCCATCGAACAGGAGCCGAGATATCATTTTGAGCCACTTCAGTCATTTCGGATTTTCGAAATTTGAATTTTTTGAATTTTGACAGATTTTGATTTAAAACGCGTAATACTCAAAATTGAAGCTCAGATTCGGATTCCTCGTAAAAAATCGATGCCATTTCATGTATCATACCCCGACACCGAGTTTCACAAAAATCCATCGAACAGGAGCCGAGATAGCATTTTTAGCCACGTCCGTCATTTCGGATTTTTGAAGTTGGAAAATGTGACTTAAAACGCGTGATACCCAAAATCGAAGCTCAGATTCGGATTCCTCGTTAAAAATCGATGCGATTTCATGTATCATACCCGAGCATAGCGTGGAGGAAAGAGACGCAACGTAGGCATACTGATTCGAGCATATGAATGCAACGTGGCAACATGGGTAGTGCTCAGTGGGTCAGCGGAGGAGGAAGAATAAGAATTTATCGTGAGGAATTCCTGCCGGCGCTTCCCTGTTCGGTTTTACTCGGGCGACCCGCGCGGCGGCGTAGTTCAAAGGGATAGTACGACAGAATCTATACGCGTCGTTAAACCTTTTTCCTTCACGCTATTCTAACATATGATACATGAAATCTCATCAATTTTTCACGAGGAATCCGAATCTGAGCTTAGATTTTGGATATTACGCGTTTTAATCTATTTAAAATCGTAGGAGAAATTAAAAAATTGTCCTTGAAAATTGATCACACATTAGTGTTTTTTTACGTCATTTACGTCATTAAACCTCTTTCCTTCACGCTATTCTAACATATGATATATAAAATCTCATCAATTTTTCACGAGGAATCCGAATTTGAGCTTAGATTTTGGATATTACGCGTTTAAATCTATTTAAAATCGTAGGAGAAATTAAAGAATTGTCCTTGAAAATTGATCACACATTAGTGTTTTTATACGTCATTAAACCTCTTTCCTCCACGCTATTCTAACATATGATGCATGAAATCGTATCAGTTTTTCACGGCGAGAAATCTAAATCTGAGCTTAGATTTTGGCTGTTATGCGTTTTAATCTATTTAAAATCGTAGGAGAAATTACACAGAATTGTCCTTGAAAATTGATCACACATTACTCAGTGTTTTTTTACCCCGTTTTTCTTCTGCGTTCACGTAATGAAATTAGACCAACAGTTGACTCATCGACTAGTCTAGCCTAATCCCCCAGAATCGGTCTAAAGAGCGAACGATTTTATCAGATAAGATGTGCGGTCCTAGTTCTATAATAAAACAAAAAATTGAAAAAGAAAGTTCAAAAACAGGAGAAAAGTTGAAAAAATGATTCAACTTATAGTGAACATCAGTTGATTTTTACGTGAAATTCATGGTCAATGGAGAAGGATACGATAATTAAAAATCTCGGAAAATCACATTAAATCCAATGAATTTTTTACACCATATTGCGCGAGAAGAAATTTTCCCAATACACACAGTTTAAAATTTTATCCGCACTATGGTCATCCTCTATCTGTTCTTTTAGAGATCTTTTTTGAGTTATCCACATTTGTTTTGATGATTACTGCCCAGGCTTGATAATTCTGGTTTTGACGCTTGGCCTTATTTTCCCAACCGCAACGCATATTTTTTAAAACTATAAAGTAAAAGTCTACTGATGAAAGTGTATGACACAGAGCTAACATCTTTACCGACCGACAAGAAGCAAGGTGAAGAAGTCGTCCTCAAGAGCAGGCCACTCCAATTTGATTGGTGGGTACTTCACCTGATGCAGCTCGACCTGTTGGCCCATACTCGGGCACAGCCTTGGACCGAAAGTAATCTGATGAGAAAATAGTAAATCCATTCTGTGTTATATAAAATGAAACAAACCTAGCTCATTTTCGTTTTTTTCAGTAGTTTGCGGTTTCTCGTAATTAAATTGCATTTTTTTTACTGTTGGTCCGAAGAGCCTGTTTTTCCCAATATTTGGAGTCCCAAAAACTGACCGTGTTAATTTTAGTATGGCTTGTCAAATGAGATTCATTCAACATGAGTGACTTGATCAGAATTTGTGCGCCCTTGCTGAATCATCTATGTGAGAATATTGTGCCTATGACATATTATACGTGTCACTTTCTGAATTTTTACCTACAAATGCCATCGAAAGAACCTGGATGGACAGATGATATTGACACCCCCCCCCCCCCCCCAAGGAATTACGGCTCTCTCTCACGAATATACACACTTAATTTCAATAAAATTAGTTTATATACGAGGCAGTCTTTTATAGCTTATTATTTTCAGACTCACAATGTGATATCTTCTACTTAATGTGCATGCTACGTTTTATCACAAAAAACTAAAGAATCTAGATTTTAAAATACCTTCGCAAAATATGGAGGCGCCGAAGCAAGAATATCTGGTATGATGCCGTATATTTTGAGTCTGTTTGTAATATCCTCATGTGTTATAGTCAGAGGATCAATATCAGACATGTCTTGAGAAGGGTAGTAAGTATACGATAATTTAACCAACACAGAGACAAGTAGATAGAAAAAGTATATGGTTGAAACACAACAGGAACGTATAATATGAGCCATTTTTGACTTTCACGGTAATTTCTGCCTCATCCTGAAAACAGAGATGCAGAAAAAATGAGACGTAAGTACATAAACATTCTCATCATCAATCTATAGACGGATTTTTCAAAAAAAAATTTGGTAAAATAAGTTTTTTAAGGATGAATATGACTTCCTACCTTCAATCGCTTCCACGTTCAAACACGCATTTGTATTTATTTAGTGATCAATTTCTCACTGATTGCATTCACTATCCAACAGATAGGGGTTTCAAAGAACCCTTCGATCTTTATCTACTTCGCATTTTTCTATTTTTCAATCGGTAAAAAAGTGGCATCACAAAGGACTTGTTTTGGTTTTAAGGAACGAAAGCCTGTAATTATATCAACAGAGCATACGTATTTTCTTATCGGATCAAACTTTCGAAACAAGCGTTTCATAATAGTTCAGATATGTTGAAAAGACGGAGGGGCGGGGATGGGGGAGGGGGTCCGGGAATCACGGTAAAGAGAATGATTCCAGTATTGAATCCTTAACTCTACCAATATAGTCATATCATTTGGTGCGTGCCATGAAAACTCTGAATAATCCCTCAGTTTTAATAAAATTTACCTTCGAAATGTGTGAAAATTCATCTAATTATTTTCTCAAATGTTTTTTGAAAAATGCTGAAACGTCGCTCAATTTAGTTTTCTTTCATCCTAGTATTGAGTCCTCCCAGGTATCTCCTCATTGCGCGCACACCGCACCACTGACCAAAAATACTGTGCGGAAGGACAACCTAAGCGCCTTCAATTTTATCGTATGCAACACAGGCATCATTAGAGTAGGAATAGTTGTAGGAGAGCAAGGCGCTTTCATCAACGTTATGTTGTCTGTCTCGCCCTTGTCATCGTTTCGCCATCATTTACATAGGCACCAGAGGTCCCCAAGTCACTTCCTACATAGCCGACGGGTTTTACCAATTCCAGCAATGACCTATGATCATAATTGGACGTATTTCTGTCAAACGGGACTATGTGCATTAACACATGAGCCCTGAGACCCATAAAATATATGCGTAACAGGGCTCACGTCATAATGCACATATTTCTGTTTGGCAGAAATACGTGCAATTTGTAGTGTAGGTAGATAGCACGTCAACGGTGAAACTCGCATTCCACGTACCTCGGTTTGCAATGTTACAGCTTCTTGTCAAACTTTTTTTTAATGGATATAAATGAACTATACGTAACGTCAATTTTTAAAAACTTCCTTGACTTTTTTCTCTGCCTGAAGAAAGTTCTGTGAAAACTTCAAAGCATTATATTGATTTTTCCTCGCTAAGAAAAATTATTGAGATCGGAGATGTCAAAACACCGCAAACGATATATACCGTTTGGGAGTTTCAACGTCGATGTGTTTTTTTTTGTAATTGCATAATTTTAAAACATGAAGAAATTTGATTAATAGTGATTCAAAACTCGATTTTTGAGAGAATTGCTTTATGAGCAACACGTATTTCTTCTCATTTCGATTAGAAATATAGTCGGAGAAGGAACTTTTTCTTTTACCAATTAATTTTGGAGAAAATTTTTCTTTAAAATAAATCTTGGAACTTTCCAACACCAAGTGACATAACTAGTTCGAGGGTTTTTTTTTTTCGTATTTTCATAATTAGAAGACACCTTAGACCTCGTGGTTTCCAGCTATTCTCTGCGAGACTAGAACTTTCAGCCTGGGAATATTGAAAAGTTGGCAGGAACTGTTGGTTAATCAGAGGGGTTGTTTCCCCTGCCGTAGCGCTAGAATAAATACATATTTAGCGTTTAAATTATATGTGATAATTTTTTTAGCATCACCTCTTCCATAACGTAAAAGTCTGCTCATTTTTCTCTATTGCTCATTTTTTATTTTAGTTCAATAATGTTTTTTTCCAACTGAAAAAAGAAGAAAGATAAATTTGATTATAATATTGCACAATTTTTATTCAGATTATACGTCAATTTATGCAGTACTTGTAAGAATAGATCTACGGAAGCAATCTTTTGGATTTTTATGGCACAAAACACCCCTAAAAGGACTCTCGAAGTTGAAGACATTTTCCGCAAAGTTGTTGCCATCTCCAACACAAAATTCTTTTGAGCATTATCTTTTTTAGGTCACGTCTGATCTAAAGCATCACTATTCTACCTATTACGAAAGTTAAAGCTAATACCCGCAGAAAAAAGACGCATCAAAGAAACTCAGCGACGCGCGTGGTAAGTTGGAGAAGACACCCTCATTTCAAAAATGCCGCTCTCGGTTCCGTTTCAAATAGGGACTGGGGCATTGGACAGAGAGCGCTGCAGAATCTTGAGGCTCGCGAAGTGTTACATCTTATATTTCTGTTTTTTATTCTTCTATGGTTATCAAGTTTCTCTTTTCACTGTTTACGTTTTGAATCCGTGGCATTTTTCGGTACATTTTGATTGATTTTTCAGTTTAACAGTTGAAAAAAGTCCTTATCTATTTCTCTTGCATCCTTTTCCGATTTGTGTGATCTTTAAGCGCCTGTGTTTATTTTCATCCGGTTGTTTCGATCTCTTTTGGTGTTGTTTTGCTTCCACCACAATCCTGTTTATAGGTAAGTGTTTCATTACTGATAAATGATTTATCCTGAGTACTTATCTGGGTCGGTTATCCTAAGTAATTTAGCATGATCTTACCATTCAGTCAGCAATCCGATCGCATATGCTAATGTTATTAGGTTACAGAAATATGACAGAATATCCTCATCTGTTTTCTCAGCACTATCATTTGTAAACAAACCTGTCTTAAAAATGGAACCTCATCAGATTAACTTGCCAAACTCTGGAAACATCGATCTAGAGTATCAAAGAAAGCATTTCTAAATGTCAGCCCGCTTTTTCAAATTTTGAGTGCCAACACCATACTCAGCGGCTTGAAGTTTACTCATTTGGAGATTTCTTGCCGGAAGACTGAAAGCGCTGAGGTAGATGATCTACTCACTCATGGTTTTTTTTTTCGTGGTTCGACAAGAAATATTGTGGCTTAAGTTAGACCAATCAGCTTGATTGATCTCCTTATTCTCATGAAGAAGTTGTTGAATGATCAGTATGCTTTTATTCTAACAATGCTTCCTAACACCGTATCTTTTGAGACAGACCTGCTTTTTCAGTGTTTAATTAAAGAATTACTGCAGGTTGTCGGAGAGAAGATACTGTGGTTTAATGAAGCAAAATGAGGCCTAAATAATATGGAAACCCTTGTTAGGGCTTTCTTCGTATTTCATAGCCGGAGATTTTTTCAAGGTACTTAACCTACTTATCAGTGTGATTTTGAGGATGCTTCAATATGTGCCCCTGCCTCTAGTATACATAGAAAAATTGAATGCAGTATATTTAAGAGGCGTTAAGGTCTTTTTCCAATCCATTATGATTACGGTTGGAGTGCATTTGTTCAATTTTACTTAACATAGGTAGAGATGTCGTTAGCTAAGTAACCACTCGCTCACATTCTATTTGCAAAAGACCGCAATACATTAATCCAATTGGGATCAAGTATTGACTACACTCACGATTGGACCGCGGTCAGTCCTCGATCAATAGGTATTGGAAAATAGCATCGCGATCGGTTACAAGCGGACTTTACTTAAACAAGTGCCAACCCAGCCGACAACACCTCTATGTTGGAAGAAACTATATCCACAGGAAATGAGCAAGTACCTGTCACAAGAGAGTACCCATCATCAAATATTTTAGTTAAATTACGCATAAATAAACAGAGTAGTAAATTTTGTAAGAGTAGGTAGATCGATAGGTAGGCGATCAATTTGCACCATTAGTGGAATAGCACTCATGATTTGTTTATCAATGCCTTTTCATGTAACAGCTAATTGGAAGGAGTCTCCATTATCTGAAATAAATTTTTAGGCCATGTTGTCCAGTAAATATCAGTTTGACTGCAGATTAGTCGTTAAAAGGATGACTGTAGGTGTTTGGAAATATAAGTATAGAGAAGGTAGAAGATTTGATATTTTGTGTGACTTAGGACTTCACACATACGACTAAATAGCTTGAGACTTCAGTGAAATTTTCTATGATTAGGTACATCATACATCCAGGCGAGGGGCTGCCTGAGTCCAACCCCCTCATTTCCAATCAGTAGCTTCATTTACAGAGTGACAAGTTCTTGAAAAGCCAGTAAATGAATTTTACTCAACCACAAAAAGCCAGGAAATTTTCCTTTGAAGCCTTTGGTTTTTTTTTTGTTTTTCCTGTGAAGCTATGTAAAAAGCTCCGATCAAGCAAATCTGCTCAAAAATCTGCTTTGCTAAATTAGAGTTGCGGCTCACAATCCCAGATTTTGCGAGTTTTTCTCAGATTCATCACTCTAAATCGACCAGAGCAAATTTCATCCATGCATAATTTTTTTAAATTTTAGGACACATGCTGTAGGGTATGATGTCTGTATTCTGAAAGAATAAAATATATAAGTAAGCACATGGTCAGGCTTTCTTTTTATGATTTTTACAAAGCGTTCTGTTCGAAAAATACTCTCGGAATCTCGCAAGGAGTCCCACGGTTTTGTCTAGGACGACAGAGGTTGAGCTCAAATTTCATCCCGGAGTCGAAGAAAATTAAAATTCAAGGGGAATTGTCACCCTGTTTCGCTAGATTATCGAGTGACTGTNGGGGGGGGGGGGGGGGGGGTTATGCAGTGGAAAACAACTGAGCTTCAGTAAATTTTTAAAACCGCACTAAAATTGTTCTGAATCGCTGAAAAAAATTCCTAGGAGAGGAGTAACTGTGTAACAATCCCCTCCCTTTATCCTCTCCACGACAGCGTGCTGTACTGCTGTGCTAAGGAAGAACGCCGTATGGGCCATCAGGCGTCGC